TACATTTAAATTGAAAAGGAGCTCCAGTGACATGAATATGTGGAAAATCTAGACTTACTTCATTTAGGGCTATAGCATTACAGTAAGGGTTGGGCAGAAAAGACCTTTCAGACTTTGCAAACCAATATATCATACAGTACATTCTCTAATAAATCAATGTTGACTGAAATAATATATCTCTTCATACAAACCAATTACAAGATGATTAAAAGTGGACATTATTGAACTGACTTGCTTGTTTTGTAGAATTAGCTACATTAGACTGACACACTTTTCACCGACACAAACTTCGTCTTCTACAAAGAGCTCTTCATCCTTGAGACAAGTGCAAGACATTAGCTTACAAAGGGACTGTGTTACCTCAATAACATGGTAATGTGGAGGGTACACTGGAGCTTTATATCAGTGGAACTGGTACACTTGCCACAAACTGCACTTAACACACACAGCAGGGGTGAAAGATGAGAGACACCTGATGTTTGCACAGCTTTAGGTCCATACCTATGACACAAGACAGGGTCCAAGCCACTAACACAAGACAGGGTACCTACCTCTAACACCAGAGTCCCTACCTGTGATACAAGAGTCCCTACCTGTGACACAAGAGTCCCTACCTATGACACCAGAGTCCCTACCTGTGACACCAGGGTCCCTCCCTGTGATACAAGAGTCCCTACCTCTAACACCAGAGTCCCTACCTGTGACACAAGAGTCCCTACCTGTGATACAAGAGTCCCTACCTGTGATACAAGAGTCCCTACCTGTGACACCAGGGTCCCTACCTGTGATACAAGAGTCCCTACCTGCGACACAAGAGTCCCTACCTGTGACACAAGAGTCCCTACCTGTGATACAAGAGTCCCTACCTATGATACAAGAGTCCCTACCTGTGACACAAGAGTCCCTACCTGTGACACAAGAGTCCCTACCTATGATACAAGAGTCCCTACCTGTGACACAAGAGTCCCTACCTGTGACACAAGAGTCCCTACCTGTGATACATGAGTCAATACCTATGACACAAGACAGGGTCCAAACCTCTAACACAAGACAGAGTCCCTACCTGTGACACGAGAGTCCCTACCTGTGACACAAGAGTCCCTACCTATGACACCAGAGTCCCTACCTGTGACACAAGAGTCCCTACCTGTGACACAAGAGTCCCTACCTGTGATACAAGAGTCCCTACCTGTGATACAAGAGTCCCTACCTGTGACACCAGGGTCCCTACCTGTGATACAAGAGTCCCTACCTGTGACACAAGAGTCCCTACCTGTGACACAAGAGTCCCTACCTGTGATACATGAGTCCCTACCTGTGATACAAGAGTCCCTACCTGTGACACAAGAGTCCCTACCTGTGACAAAAGAGTCCCTACCTGTGACACAAGAGTTCCCACCTATGACACCAGGGTCCCTCCCTGTGACACAAGAGTCCCTACCTGTGATACATGAGTCCCTACCTGTGACACCAGGGTCCCTCCCTGTGACACAAGAGTCCCTACCTGTGATACATGAGTCCCTACCTGTGATACAAGAGTCCCTACCTGTGACACAAGAGTCCCTACCTATGACAGGGTACCTACCTCTAACACCAGAGTCCCTACCTCTAACACCAGAGTCCCTACCTGTGACACAAGAGTCCCTACCTCTAACACCAGGGTCCCTCCCTGTGACACAAGAGTCCCCACCTATGACAAAAGAGTCCCTACCTGTGATACATGAGTCCCTACCTGTGACACAAGAGTCCCTACCTGTGACACAAGAGTCCCTACCTGTGATACAAGAGTCCCTACCTGTGACACCAGGGTCCCTACCTGTGACACAAGAGTCCCTACCTGTGATACATGAGTCCCTACCTGTGATACAAGAGTCCCTACCTGTGACACAAGAGTCCCTACCTGTGACAAAAGAGTCCCTACCTGTGACACAAGAGTCCCCACCTATGACACCAGGGTCCCTCCCTGTGACACAAGAGTCCCTACCTGTGACACAAGAGTCCCTACCTATGACACAAGATTCCCTTCCTGTGACACAAGAGTCCCTACCTATGATACAAGAGTCCCTACCTATGATACAAGAGTCCCTACCTATGATTCAAGAGTCCCTACCTATGACACCAGGGTCCCTCCCTGTGACACAAGAGTCCCTACCTATGATACAAGAGTCCCTACCTATGACACAAGAGTCCCTACCTATGACACCAGGGTCCCTCCCTGTGATACAAGAGTCCCTACCTGTGACACAAGAGTCCCTACCTATGACACAAGAGTCCCTACCTATGACACCAGGGTCCCTCCCTGTGATACAAGAGTCCCTACCTGTGACACAAGAGTCCCTACCTGTGACACAAGAGTCCCTACCTGTGACACAAGAGTCCCTACCTATGACACAAGAGTCCCTACCTATGACACCAGGGTCCCTCCCTGTGATACAAGAGTCCCTACCTGTGACACAAGAGTCCCTACCTGTGACACAAGAGTCCCTACCTGTGACACAAGAGTCCCTACCTGTGACACAAGAGTCCCTACCTATGACACCAGGGTCCCTCCCTGTGACACAATGTAAAATAAAAGGAACAAAACTCTTTCCATAATAATAAATCTAAGAGTCTATTGTATGAGACCAACTGTATCAGAAGTATGTGCTTATCAATCACTTTGATCCTAGCTGTTCGCATGAAAACATAGGTATGGATTAATCTTGTATCCTCTGATATTAAAATCCCTAAATATTTGTGAGCAGGCAAAACATGATCAAGTCATTGAATGAGATCTGTGAAAGTCGTATCTCAATGGCCTCAAATCATGATGACACCAGGTGTTCTCAAAAGGATATCCTTCCCTCCTGGTGGTACTTGTTATACATACATCACAAAGAACTAGCAATTCTGAGTTGAAATTAACTGCTATTTTGAACATCTTGTTGAGGGAGAAAATACCAGTGACATAGGTTGTTTTACCACTTAAACCAATGTGCACAGGTCTGGTCCAGAAAGATCATAGATCAAGTCCATGCAATCTGCCATTTAAACCTATAACCAGTTTGCTCTCTACAGTGAATTTCAGTGCGCTTTGGTCATACATGCTCCACTAGAAATTAATCAAGATAGAATAAATTTCTCATGGGTAATTGTGGCTCCAACCACCACCTTACTGCAGTTGGTCCAAAAAGGTTGATTTCCTCTGAGATTAAAACAGCTGTCTTTGATTGTTTTAGGTAGGAACAAGCTGACCAAAGAGATAATTTGAAATATTGTTAAAAAGGCAATTAAATCATCATTGAAAAAAGGTTTCTATTTAAAATCAGATTTTTTATGTCTTCGTCCTAGCTGACTATTTTGTAATAGACTGATTAGAACTTACTTCTCAAGGTAACATGATATTTCCTGCGTAAATTGCCCTTAAACATGAAATTTGTCAAAAGATTAGAATAATTTTCTGGCTGCAGTGAGAGACAGGCAATTACATGTTTTCTTAGATCCAACTTGATCTATAAATACACATGTAATTTCTTCAAGAGTAACTTTTCAACACAAAAATCATTCGTCCATCCATCTTTGTCAATGCATCAAACCTCTCCATGGTTCTAACCAAGCCTTTTGAACATTTTTATATTTAATATCAGCAATTAAGGTCCATGGAAGAAAAAGATAAAACACAAGATAACTGGTCATTTTCACATCAAAAGTTATGATTTAGATGTTAACTTTTAAAGAATATTATCATGTAGGATGATTTAAAGCATTTTAAATCTATCATGTCAAAGCATGACATATTTTTAAATCATTTCAGAAAAAGAATATTAGAATCCATTTCAGAGCCAGTGCTATCTAAAAATGAACATGTTTTGAATCTTAATTTTTGAAAGTACAAAAACTAACATGTGAATAGTTTCAAGGCTTGCCCATGGCACAAACTAGACAATTTCCCAAGATACCAAGCTCATCAAGTTTTTCACCAACCCGCAAGCAAAGTTATCTTGTGAACTGTCTCTGAGTGATTAAGATATTGACAGGTTGGAAAAAAAGAATTTCCCAATAGTCTGAGGAAGAGGCTTTAGTCATGAAACCTGTGACAGCATGACCTTGAACCTGACTTTGTCAAGTTTAGGTTATGAAACTACTTGACTCTTGCATGTATGGCCAAGGCAACAAAAGTGCCTTCCTAATCAAAGGTCTGTGTATAAAAATCAAGTTTTGTTTCTCATGTATGTTTGCATATGTAAATAAAGTTAGGACATTGATTTAGAAAATTGTCAATTAACAGTGTGCAGTATTTGAGATATATTCTAATGGATCATAGGATCAAAATGTCAGCATAGGAATGAACTTGGAAGCATGTTCCCCCATTACACCCAGGTTAATCAACTCCTTCAAATGCATGTTAGCTTGAACAGTCAGAGTCAAGATGCGTATGATGCTCTTGCATCTGCTGATATCTTTTAGGAACAAATAGAAAGCTTCTTTCAGAAAACAAATTGGTTGGGCCTTATGGTACGAGTGAGTGAGTGAGTGGGTTTGGTTTAACGCCACTTTGAATGTTATTCCAGTTACCGGTATATCATGGCATGTCAGCTTAGTATGGGAGAAAAGACTGAAATGATGTTATGTTTGCAACATTTAATGTTGACAACATTTGTATGATATATTCCAACTGATCTTTCATTTGTATGTGAATATGGCTTCCTGTTGCACAGGATTGGCTTGGAGTGAGTTGGGTTTAATGCCACTTTTATTCCAGTTATATCACGGCGTGTCAGCTTGATGTGGGAGGAAAGCCCGAAGCGATGCAGGTCTCAGATGTTTACATCTGTGAAACCAATAAGTATCGGCATGATGCTGACAAACCTAGAAACATAATCGGGGTGAAACAGGATTCAAACCCATGATCATAGTTTTCTGGCAAACCCAATTGCAGTGACTTAGATGACTGGGCCACCCATGCCCTGCCTCATGGTATGAGCCAGGGTTCAGAAGTGACATCAGTATTGCTCTCTTACCTTTTTCGTTCCTAAATTTCTTATTTTACAGGGTAAAACTGCCATGGCACCCTCCCTCACTGTCACGTTCATATTGCCTGGCAGGAACTTGGGAGTTGGTGTCAACTGGCGTTTGACTGACTCGCTGCAACCTGTGAAAAAAAAGAGATAAAGTTACAGATCAACTAGTTTCGAGGTGACATGACATTTAACTACAAAACCTGAGATACCACATTAAAATAATTAGGATGAAAAACTGATCTCGTACAATGATATTTCTATTGATGTCTTAGGTCACATTTACCTATTTACATCAATATTAAATATTCATTATGGATTCAAAATGATATGCAGCATTTGACATTAAGATCCATGTCCTCCATTATGTGTTTACACAATCATATTCTGAAAACTAAATGTGTCGATCCTTTCTCAACCCAACACATACAGATATACTGCTATGTCTGTGGATTGTTTTTCTATATGCTATATAGGTATTAAAAAGTGCAATCAAGTTAAACAAAATGACATAAGTAAGCATTAATGAGTGCTCATCTTGGGGGAGGGGGAGGGGGCATGGGTGGCATAGTCATCTAGAGCGCCGCGATTCGCTGTGCAGAGTTGCGTCCTTTTGGCACGCCAGAAACCTGATTGTGGGTTCAAATCCTGGTTCACCCTGATTATGTTTCTAGGTTTGTCAGCACCATACCCGTGCACGTGGGTTTCACTGAAGTGGTAAACGTCTAAGACCTGCATCAGTTCGGACTTTCCTCCCACATTAAGCTGACACACGGTGATATAACTGGAATACTGTTAAAAGCGGCGTTAAACCCAGCTCACTCACTCACTCGTCCTTGGGAATTATCAGTTCTCCCTGGTTGGTTCAGATATAGAATGATGTCAATAACTTTGAAAATGTGGGGCCTGATATACTGAGTTCTGTGAAAGATATCTTTTCTTGAATCTGTCACATTGAAATTCAACAGAGCTACTTCATATTGTCAAACATGACATGGTTTCCATACTGGCAACAGATGACACTTAAGCATTGTATAACTAGGACCATCTTGAATAACTATGGAACTGACCTACTTAACCCTGCATATGAGTTGCCGATTGCTGAAGGTCGATAAGATATCCGATTGCATCAACATTAATGGGCATGGGGGCTATTTCTTGCCAATATATTTAGGATTGGCAGTGTTGACCATTTATAAAATATATATAGGTATCATACAAGGATATCATGGAATAATATTCTATTTTAACAGCACCAGGATCTGTAGTCACGTCCTGAAAAAATCCTGAACATATTGACACTGGACTCATGGTCAATATCATATTGTAAAGTATTCAGAGATCATATTCTTTTGTCCAAATATGCAGGTGGCAGATATCATGAGATCCGAAATATGCAGGTGGCAGATGTCATGAGATCCGAAATATGCAGGAGGCAGATGTCATGAGATCCGAAATATGCAGGTGGCAGATGTCATGAGATCCAAAATATGCAGGTGGCAGATGTCATGAGATCCAAAATATGCAGGTGGCAGATGTCATGAGATCCGAAATATGCAGGTGGCAGATATCATGAGATCGGAAATATGCAGGTGGCAGATGTCATGAGATCCAAAATATGAAGGTGGCAGATGTCATGAGATCCAAAATATGCAGGAGGCAGATGTCATGAGATCCGAAATATGCAGGTGGCAGATGTCATGAGATCTCAATATACAGGAAGCAGAGAGTCATGTCATGTTGCAAGTTGTAAACAAGGCAAGATTCATGGAATTCCAAAATAGGAAGTTGAAAATCAAGATTGATCATTTATGAGGAGGAATGTGATCAACTGGACACATATTCTCAAGGAACAAGAACCAACATACTTCAAAGTCATAACATGATAGTGTCACATACAGTATGTATGTTCTCAGTTGCCACACAGTCACAATGTAACACACAGTATGTCAGCTAATACAGTCACTGTGTAACACAGAGCACATCTAAGGGGTCCCCCGATACAACACAGTGATGGTGCCCAGTTCTGGAGCGGCCCTCCTTCCCAAAGTATGAAAAGAGCTCCTCAATGTAGCATTACAAAGATCAATGGTGGTGCTTGCGCTGCTAGTTGCGTGACACTTGGAGTATTTTGCAGACATGATCTCCCCAAGGGCAACTCATCACCTTTGTGACATCCTCACTATCTCATCTACACACGGGCCTCACTGGCTGTCTATGTTGTCATTTACTGCCTCAAGACATGAAACATTCACACTTATTAACTTTTTATATCATAGCAAAGAAACATAAAATGGTAATTGCTGGAAAATGTGCCCCTTCTGAAATGACAGTACTTGGTTTGGTGTTTAAGTAGTCTAACATCTATCCCTGATATCAAAATAGTTTACAGAAAAAAACAGTAGTTGAATTACCTAATAATAAAAAGAAGCCCAAACTATCATTATTTTCAGACTGCAGTAATCTAGACTTGCCAACTATTATAGACTTGCATGTGCTGTCATGGATACATATTTGTTTCAGGGTCTGTATGACAGACTCAGGTTTAAGGTGTAAGGGTGATAAATAATTTGATTTTGAAATAATGATTACAAATTTGAATTCTTTTCTTCATATGCTGTTCATACAGCTATGGCCAGTATGCAAATTGTTGTCTATTTGACGTCGCAGTCAGCAATCTCCCTGCTGCCTCATCACTGAGATCGCAGAATAAGATTGAAGTCTGGTCCAATAAAACCTGTGGTTCATAGAAGGGGGCAATGACAGCACCTGACACTATCTGTTACCATTTTAGTCTGATCCAGCCAATGCTTAGTCTTTGAAAATATATAATTTTGATAGAAACAAACAACTCAATTTAAACTGAAAAGGAGCCCCAGTGAGCCTAAACTTGTGGAAAATCTAGACTTGCTTCAAATTTAGGGCTATAGCAATACAGTAAGGGCTGGGTGGAAGGGAAAATAATATGGTTTAGGACTGTACTACTGACTCTACTTGGTAATACAACAAGCATTAGGGCCTATTCTGACCTGGAAACCTGACAGAGTACTGTGGTAGTTTGACAACCATTTCTTGACCTAATACCGCCCACAAACTTATATTGTATACGTATCTAGAACATCTCTGACTTAACTAACTGCAACATATCTTGCAACTTTGAGTGAATATGGTTTCAAGCTGCAACAGTAACATCCTCAACTATCCTGTGTATTTTATTGCCATCTTGTTATGCTAAACACCCAAAGTCCATTTGCTACCAAAGTTTTGTTTTGAGCCCAATTCAATGGAATGGCACTAAAATCATTATAACTACTCTCATATGTAAGAGAAATTCTGTATTAAGTTCATCATATAGGAGAGATAGAGATAGAGATGCTATTTCCACAAAAAAGGTATGTTCGCGAATGGGTCCAAGGTATTTATTGTAATTAAATGGTGATATAATACGCTTGATAACTTATGATGCCATATTCTCAACAGGCAAAACATCTTATCATACTTCTATGTCAGAATGATAAGATCTGATTGACTCACATGATCTTGATAAAATACCATGTATCCCGGCTGGGAGGGAAATAAATTTCTGAGCAGGTGAACAAATCTGTAATACCCCGCCATGAAGAACACAGGCTGCACGTGGATTTCTGAGCCTTATACTCCGCTTCGAACAAAAAATCTGCACGCTTTTTCAGAGTCAATGAAAGTCACGTGACATGTCACAAGTTAACCTTAGCTAAATCAAAAAGCTGTTTTCTATCAATTTTGAAATTGTATTAATTTTCTTAAACTGGCAGAATAAAACATGTGGGTGAGGTAGATATGTTGTAGCAGTATCACTCGGGGTACATGTTGTTTTATGTGTACCTTGTTAAAACCACATGTACCCCAATGTCTGGCACTCATTCTCTATCTATTATATTGTGTTTATGAATCACTACCAAATAGTGATACTACCTATAGTTAGAAAATAGTGATAAGGTAACATCTAAACCACTAGACTACCCTACTACCATTTATTTAGATGAAAATTGGTATGGAATATATACAGTCCCTAAATATTAATGTACATGTAATACCTCAGCAATTTTTGGAAGCAAGCAAAACGTAAGTAAGTCACTGAATGAGATCCATGCTGAGATCCATGCCAGACATCTCCTGCCATGTATTATTAAATCTGGATCACATTAACCAACTGTTGTCAGCATTGCCTGCACATTATTAGGGAGAACACTATTAAAGGAATGGCAAAACTGAACATCCATCTTCCAGAAGACCATCCATCTAATTCTGTCAGAATTCTGTGGCCCTTCGGTCTCCATGTTCCCATTTAAATTGCCTTTCATATCAAGCATGTGTCACTGGGGACCTATTCTATCTTAGATTTCCTATAAACGTTGACAAATTCAATGTCAATGTCATAAACATATACAGTACAAACGGCATTTCCATCTTATTTGCTGATCTTGCAAAAATATTCACTCCAATATTCACAGAATATTCTATAAGTGCTTCAACAATCAATATCAAATCCTTTACTATTCATACTGCAGTACCAAACATGACAGTTTTCAATGGATGTCACATTAATTCAATTGAAAAAGCATTACAAATGTGGTAGAAAAATCACAAAAAAGTGTTAATGTTCTACTAGTGTCCTCTCTTGTGCCCAATGTACTGTATGAAATCAAGGCTTACGTCTGTCACAGGGATGAGGCCAGCCATTACGCATGGAAATCACTACTAATAGTTATGTAACGCCATAACAGTGCTCGTACACCATCATAACAATTGCTGATGTTGTCAAACATTTGACATATTGCTTTATGCATAACCATCATGGGACATCTTATGCAGTTATTCAAAATTTCTGAAGTTTTCTAGTACACCTTTGAACCAATAACTTCATAACTCCTAGGTCTCAGGAGAGATGTGATGGCTGATTTAATACATACACAGACTGTTTATCTATCTATATGAAGTAAAACATTCTAAAAATCATTTTGTTTTTTTTAAAAGCTGCTTGATCTCATCTTGGGGCATGTTAGGAAATGGGCAAAAAAATGTTCAGCAGATCAAAGACCCCAAATCAGGAGTCCACGTTTTTACTTCTGCCATTTATGATAGGGCTAAGAAA